GAAAGAAGGAAAAAAGATAGGGAGGGAGGGAAGGAAGGAAGGAAGGAAGGAAAATGGGAGGAAAGGTGGGAGAAGGAAGGTGAAAATAAATTTCAACTTTCCCCTTTAAAGGCCAGGCTTTTGTCATAAATATTAAAAGAAAGAACTTACATTGAGGAGTTCTTAAAATCGTTATTTTTATTAATAATCAGCCAGCCAGCCAAAATGTTGTATCATTGGCAAATCCATTTATTTCCGAGATGCGCTATTAGGAAACAAATCGTTTAAAGCAGCTTTTCCAAGAGTTAAGTTCAGGACCTGTTATAGGTAGTCCTCGACTTACGACTGTAACGGAGCCTGCCCATTGTGGGCGCAAGTCAAGACAGTTGTTAAGCAAGGCGCTCACATGATCATCTCATGCAATGACCACAATTGAGCCCAACATTTCTATTGCTAAGTGAGATAGTCGCTAAATGAGATAGTCGCTAAGTGAGCTTTGCCCCGTTTTATCTTTTCTTGCCACCATTGTTAAGTGAATCACTGCAGTTGTTCACTTAGTCACATGGTTGTTAAGCGAATCTGGCTTCCCCGCTGACGTTGCTTGTCAGAAGGTTGCAAAAGGGGACCATGTGATCCCAGGACCCTGCAACAGTCGTAAGTACATGCCAGTTGCCAAGCCTCCAAATTTTGATCATGTGACCATAGGAATGCCGCAATGGTCATAAATCTCTTTTTTTTTAGTTCCGTTGCAACTTTGAACAAAAACGTTGGCTTTTTGCAGAAAGAAACAATGCTAAATAGGAAAATAACATGGTCAAACTCTCATTGTCAAATGTTCTATAGATGGCACTTACCACCTGCTAGGTTAGCTAACACGTTTAAAAATATGTTTAGCAAATGTTGGAAATGTAATTTTAAAAAAACAGGCAAATTTTTTCATATGTGGCAGACTTGTGTTACAGCCAAAAAATGGGCAAAAATACACAAATGGATAGAAAAGATAGGGGAACATGTAGATCTCAAAGCTGAACTGTTTTTATTAGGGATGATATCAAAAAAATTGATAAGAAAAGTATGTATTTAATATTACAGCGAGGATTATCTTTGCACAATATTGGAAAAATGAAGAAACGCAGCAAGATGAAGAGATAATTAAGATATTACATTGTGCAGAAATGGACAGACTGACATTGAAAATCAGACGGAAAGAAGACACAGAATATTATCAAACATGGAACTTATTCTACCGATGGTTGGAAAATAGGAGTGGAGAGAGTAAGAAGGTAAATTTGTATTGTTAAGAAATTTAAATACCCAGATAACATGATGTTTATTGAGCACTTAAGAAATGTAATCATAGAAAATAAAATTTATTTTAAAAAATACCCTCTCAGTGTCAGATGTTTGTTAAGAACATTTGTACAAGTCCGTGTAGTGCACAAGAGCTACCTGTACAAACATTCTTAACAAACATTACCTGACAATGAGAGTTTGACCAAGTTTTATTTAGCTGTTTAGTATAATCTTTTGCTGCAAAGGATTCCAGGTGTTTATTCGGGGGCTTCTATTGAGGACTCCTGGCATTTAATTTTTTTATCTCCATTTGGAAACTGGAGCATTCATGTTGCACTTAAAAAGAAAGATTTTTTCCTAGCTGCAGTTGTGAAGGGGTGGGGGAAACAGATTCACAGAAGGGTGAAAATATTTCTGGCTGCCACCCCACCCCAAAAAAATAAATTCTCAAAATACTCTGAAAATACAGCTCAAGGCCAGTTCAGTCACGCTGTCATGGGATTTTATTTTATTTTTATTTATCAAGTTCAGATGTCTATGGATGCCCATCTCAAGAATGTGCCTAATTCATCAGATGAGACACCTCTGAATCAAGGAAGGGTGCACAGAACGCCTGGGACGATGGCCACAGACAATGACCATTAGTCCTTGACTTAACGGTCATAATGGAGCCCAAAATTCGTTATAGGAGTTTTACCCCATTTTTATTGTGGTTCACCTGCAGACGGCAGTGGAATCGGACAGCGGGGAAGAATGGGGACCAGTCCGGGAGTCTGGAGAGGACTGGGATGAGGGTCCTGCATCCAATACAGAGATGGGGCCAGGACCACCTGGGAGGTATGTGCTGCCTCCAGAATCTGACAGCAGCGAGGCCGAGGAACAAGGGGAGCCTGTTCCCAGTGTGCGTGTATGCAGAGCTGCCAGAAGGCGAGAGCAGCTGAAGCAGAAGGGGCAACTCTGGAGTAAGGTTGGGAGGTGATTGCTCCTCCCAGAAGAGATAAAAGTCAGGCCAAGATGATGAAACCTTTGCAGGAAGCAAAGTCATTCTTTCGGTTCAGATTCATTCTTGAAGCTCTTGGTACTTCGGTTGGAATTTTTTTCTAGTTCATTTGACACGTCTGTTATTAGCAGCCATTCAAAGGAGAGAGAGGTGGGTGCTTATCTCGAGGGACTGTTTGAGATTCATTACTGGCTGGGAATGAAAACAATTCCCAGTGTTGCAATAAAATAAGTCTTGTTTTAAAGTAAGTGTGTGCGTAATCACGGTTTAGGAAGCCTGGTCAGAACAGTTTTACGATTTTTTTTACCACAGTTGTTAAATGAATCACTGCAGGTGTTAAATTAGTCTATTGTTAAGTGAATCTGGCTTCCCCATTGATTTGGCTTGTCAAGAGGTCGCAAAAAGGGATCGTGTGACCCTGAGAGACACTGCAACTGTCATAAATGCGAGCCAGTTGCCAAGCATTTGAATGTAGAATGCTACAACGGATGTAAGTATGAAAAATATTTTTAAGACACTTTTTTTCAGTGCCGTTTGTAACTTTGGCCTCTAATGGCTGTACGTCGAGGACTACCTGTATTTCCACCCAATTGATTCAAAACTCAGACTCAAATCTCATTGGTGTCAGCTAAAAAATCTTCCTTTGGTCTTTTTAATTGCCAGCAGAAAGGGAGTGGGGGAAAGCAGTGCATTCCTTAAATGCCTCAGATAATCGCCTTGGCAGCCGAAGCTGTTGGCGGGCAAGATTATTACTGGAGAGCATGATTGAAGACTCTTGGCTATGGATGTGTCCCATTGGAGAATATACATCCAGGGAGTGGGGGGAAGACCAGGGTCAAGGGGGAAATGAAGGATGTATTTTAGTGTCGGCTGCACTCAGCTAACACCAAAATGACCACTCCTAATAAATCAATCTTTTTTTTACTGAGAGAGACTTAAGATTTGAATGGGGGTGGATTTGTTGGAGCCCTGACAACTGGATCATTTAATCTGAACCTCAATCTCATTTTCTGCATCACTTCCAATTCAGATATGGGTCATAATTTAATTTTTTTCCCCCTCGGTCTGGAAATATTCCTCAGCTGGAATTTACCGGAAAGGAAAAGTGGCCCAGCAGTCCAATGGCTGGCTATTCAGACGCAGCTCTCGGCCATCTTCTCCTTCTTCCTGCTCCAGGCCAGTTTTGGGCTCTGGGGAAATCCTGGTTTGTGTGCCCAGTGGACTCCCGGCTCTTCCCTGGGACCGTTGTTGACAGTGGACGCCCGCCCAGAGGCCATGTGGGCAGACGGTGCTTTGGCCAACTTCCTGCCTGCCCGGTAGCGTGAAGAGCAGAAGCAGTAGACCAGTGGGTCGAGGCAGGTGCTGAGGAGGCCAAAGAGGAAGAAGATATGGCCCAGTGAAGGCGGCACCTGCTCCCGGGTCAGCATCTCGGGCGAGAACCAGTACCAGAGGCCCAGCAGGTAGTAGGGCGTCCAGCAGGCGACAAACGTCAGGATGGTGATGGCCGACATCTTCAAGGCACGGAGCCGGATTTGAGGGATGTTATTGTGTGAACAACGCAGGCGGACCTCCCTGGATTTCGGTGACGCTGCAAGAAAAAGAAGGCGACAATGATAGAGCCATGTTTCAGGGTTATGTGGTGGCCTGTCGGCCGCCAGCCTCTCCAGTAGCTGAATCAGAGGAGGAGGAGGCAGAGTGGGAGTCAGGGTCAGCATCAGAGCAACCTGGGAGCTCTGAGGGGGAAGAGGGAATGGAGCTGGCAGAGAGAGAGAGGCTGAGGCGGAGCCTGGGCCGTCCATCAGCCCTCAGATGGCGAGTCAACAGCCCCCAGGTCTGGACGTGGGTGATGGGGAAGAGGAGGAACAGCCGGGCTCAGTGCCTGACGCGCAGATGCACAGAAGGCAGAGGAGAGGAGAGCAGTGGAAATCTATGGGCCGGTCCTGGGCCCAGTGCCTGACGCGCAGATGCACAGAAGGCAGAGGAGAGGAGAGCAGTGGAAATCTATGGGCCGGTCCTGGGCCCAGTGCCTGACGCACAGATGCACAGAAGGCAGAGGAGAGGAGAGCAGTGGAGCTCTATGGGCCGGTCCTTGGGATGGAAGAGCCATCGCTGCTAGTGAAGCCCCACTCGAGCTCTGGAGATCAAAGGCAGAGGATGGAAACGAATAGATGTGGCAGACCACGATTCACCTCCCCTGCAGGACAGACTTGTTAGCCTGCGGGGAGAGATTTTTTTTTTTTTTGCCGGGACTGCCGGCGCTCCTAATAAAGGGAACATTTACTTAACTACAGAGGGTCTGTCCTATTGGGGGAGCTGGATCAGAGCAGGTTTAATGATGGGTTCTTGAGCAAACCAGGATTGGCTCCATTCGGAAAGGATCCTAAGCCCCAAGGAAACCAGTTGTATCTGGATGTGATGTCCTTCAAGAGCCAAATGGTAAAGATGCCAAGCTAGAAACTGGGAGATGGGAGTTCTAGTCCCGCCTTGGGCATGAAAGCCGGCTGGATGATTTTTGGGGGGCCAATCACTAGGAGATGGAGAGTTCTAGTCCCGCCTTGGACATGAGAGCTGTCTTTCAACCAATCACTAGGAAACAGTGAGTTCTAGTTCCATCTTAGGCACAAAAGCCAGCTGGTTGACTTTCAGCCAATCATCAGGATAGGGTGAGTTCTAGTCCCGCCTTGGGCATGAAAGCCGGCTGGATGAATTTTTTGGGGCCAATCACTAGGAGATGGAGAGTTCTAGTCCCGCCTTGGGAAAGAAAGCCAACTGGGTTGACTTGGGGCCATTCCTTTGCTCTCTCAGGCCAGCCCACTTCACAGGGTTGTTGTGGATAAGAAAGCAAGATGGCGAACAATATTTGCCATCTTCTTTATAAAAACCACCCCCTTGCAGCTGACCATGCACCCCCTTTCCAGGGAAGCCCCCCCCCTCCCTGCCGGTGCATGCCGAGAGGCCTCACCCCGCGCTTGGGTCATCTTTCGTGAGATCTCGATCAGGATGCGGGAATAACAGAGCACCATAACCAGGAGAGGCACCAGGAAGAGGCCAGAGAAAGTGAACATGTTGTAGAGGGTTTCCTGCCAGTGTGCCCCAAAGCTGCCCACCGTGGCGCACTGGATGAAATGGGTGGGCTGGGACCGACTGACCGTGTGGAAGACAAACATCTGCAAAAAGAAAGGCCGTTTCCCATACAAAACACACATACACACAAACACAACAGAGAAAGATTAAGGTCTAGATTTCAGTTCTGTGAGAGGCAGTGTTTCTCCAGCCTCTTTAATAAGACGTGTGGACTTCAACTCCCAGAATTCCCTACACCCTACGCCATTTCTGACAAATAACAGAGCTGGAAGGGACCTGGGAGGTCATCCAGTCCAACCCCCTGTCCAAGCAGGAGACCCTACACCATTTCAGACAAATGACTGTCCAATCTCTTCTTGAAAGCCTCCAGGGATGAAGCTTCCACAACTTCCGAGGGCAACTTCTGTTCCATGGGTGGATTGTTCTCCCTGTCAGGAAATTCCTCCTTATTTCCAGGTTGAATCTCTCCTTGTTCAGTTTCCACCCATTATTTCTTGTCTGGCCTTCAGGTGCCTTGGAGAATAGCTTGACACACACACCCCTTTCTCTCTGGGAAGCCCCTCAAATACTGGAAGGCTGCTCTCCTGTCTCCCCCGGTCCTTCTCTTCCCTAGACTAGCCAGGCCCAGTTCCTGCAACCGTTCATCACATGTTTGAGCCTCCAGTCCCCTCATCATCCTGGTTGCTCTTCTCTGCACTTTTTCTAGAGTCTCAACATCTTTTTTATAATATGGTGAACAAAACTGGATGCAGTACTCTAGGTGTGGTCTTACTCAGGCTTTACAGAGTGGTATTAGTACCTCCCTTGATCTTGATTGTATCCCTCTGTTAATGCAACTTAGGATCGCATTGGCTTTTTTGGCGGCGGCTGCACACAGCTGGCTCCTGTTTAGCTGGTTGTCCCCTAAGACTCCAAGATCCCTCTCCCAGTTACTGCTATTGGGCCTGGTTTCACCCAGTCTGTATGTGTACTTTGGGTTTTTCTTTCCAAAATGTAGGACAGTGATGGCTAACCTTCTCAGCACCAAGTGCCCAAAGCACGCGCGCATCCCCAAAATGCAACTCCGTGCATGTGCACGCAACCACCCCCACACCCCATGCATGCATGCGACCCCCCCTGCCCTGTGCATGCACGCACAACCCACGCGTGCACGCCCTGATCTCCCCATTTGTGGCAGACCCGAAGACCAGCTGGCCGTTGGGGTGTGCATGCAGAGCTAAGCTGGGGCAACGGCTCACGTGCTCAGAGCGAGGGCTCTGCGTGCCACCTCTGGCATGCGTGCCATAGGTTTCCTGTCACAGGTGTAGGACTCGCCTCTTCTCTACGTTGAGTTTCATTTGGTGAGGTAGATACGGGTTCTTCTACCTACCTGAGGTACCGCTAGGAGGAAACTGAGGGCCCAGGCCACACACAGCATTGCCTTGTTCTTCCTCTTGGCTCGGCTGACCCACAGCGGGTGCAAGATGGCGGCCCAGCGGTCCAGGCTGATCACGACCGTCACAAAGGAGCAGGCGTACATGGCCACCAGCTTGAAGAACATCAAGAGCCGGCAGGCCAGGTCGCCGGCGTACCACTGAACGGTCACATTCCACGCGGCATCCAGCGGCATCACCACGAAGGTGACCAGAAGGTCAGCCACCGCCAGGTTCATGAGGAGGATGCGGAGATGCGGCTTGCGTTGAAACCTCTTGGTGACGCTCCACAGCATGGAGACGTTGACGCTGGTGGAGCAGAGGAAGAGGACCACGGTGAGGGCGACGCGGATTTTGGCCGCTGTGGAGAAGGTGGGCAGCTGGGAGCTGCTGCTCCTGGGAACCTCACCAGGGCTGGGGACCCCATCCATGCCGTTGGATCTCCCATGGTCCCAGAGAGTGGCATTCATTGGCTCGACCAACGTCAAGGCTTCCCAAGAAAGGAAGAGCATCCTTCACCAGAGAGGTCCATCCGCTGGACCAGGGCCTCCCACTCAGGAAGGCTCTCCCTCTCTGGCTCACGGGGACGTCCTACTTTTCAAAGAGCTTGGAAGAAGCAGGAGGACCTGGCTTCCTACTCAAGACTGTCAACTCATAAAATGTTTCTCTGGTCTTTTTAAGAGTTGGCAACAGAAAGGGAGGGGGGAGCAGTGTGGCAGCTTGGAAATCAAAAGTGCATTCCATAAATAGTTTTTCAAAGATAGTAACTAGGGGACTGAAGTTTCTGCCATGCAAAATTCTAACTGAAGCGCCTGATTGATGGCTCTGGGCTATGGAGGTGTCCCATTGGAGAATATGAATTACGATACACCCAGAGGAGTGCGGGGGAAACCAGGGTCAAGGGTGACAATGCCTCAGTGCCGGACGTGTTAACTCCCAATAAATCCTTTTGAAGTTTTGGAAGTTTGGCTCGAGACCCATGATTTAAATGGGGGGTGGGGTGGGTAACTGCCGGAATCCTGACATAGACATAGCTGAGGTCATCGGATAGGAGTCCTTCTTCTTAAAGCTGGTGGTTATTTGGGGTCAAATTGTCTTGGGTCTCCCACCGGAAGGATGGCCTATTTGGAAGATGTCATGTTTTTTTCCGGACGCTGGGTCTCCATGGCAAAAGGTCCACCTTAGTCCACATGGGTGGCTGGGAACAGAAAAACAGTCACGGGCCTGCCAGTTTCGACTTCTTTTGGTGGCAGCCATCTTCAACCTCTTGCAAAACCCAGGGGTCCCGAGACCACCCCACACACCTGCAAAGGGACAGAAGAAGCCAGCTGTCTTTTATCTGCTTCCACCAAGCCGCCCACCCACATTTCCAAAAGCATTGAAATGCAAAGCTTGCGAGAGGGGTCTTCATGGCGCTGAGCACCCTTCAGTTCTGGCCATTGCGGCAGGATGAAGATCAAGAGTGTCCAACCTTGGCAACTTTTAAGACCTGTGGACTCCCAACTCTCGAAGTTCTGGGAGTTGAAGTCCACCCGATTCTGAGAAGTCCATCCATCCACAAAGAAGTCCATAAGAAAATCCACAAGACTCGTGGACTTCAAATCCCAGAATTGCTGGCTGGGGGGGTATTCTGGGATTTGAAGTCCACAAGTCTTCAAGTAGCCAAGGTTGGACACCCCTGATGTAGTTGTGGTGGGATGAGGTTTTATATGAAACATGGTTAATCTCTTGCTTGGAAGAAGGCAAGGGAGTCTGCAATTTTTCATCATAAAATTTGAAAAGGACGAACTGGTTGACGAACATAGAATAAAATGGGTGAAGGATTTCGGTTATACTATGCAAATGGATCGGTGGGAAAATACGGGGTTCAAAGGGCTGAAATTTATTTTACCTTAGCATCTTAGCCAGGAGTTTTATCAAACGATGCATCATTGGCATATGACCCCAGAGAAATGATCTACAATTTATCAAGGCCCTTCGAATGCAAGTAATCGTCAACTTAACAACTATCCAGGTCTTGAGTTGTAAAATGAGTTGGTTACGTGACTGACCTGGATTTATTCCTCTTTTTTTTTTTTTTTTGTGGCGGTCTAGTCATAAGAGGAGGAAGTCAAACTGGTTGTAAGACAAGTATGAGGACTCCTGCTGTGGGCAAGGGGGTGGACTAGATGACCTCCAAGATCCCTCCCAACTCTGTCCTTCTGTAGTCCTGTACATTCTTTCCCCACGGTTGGTATTGTGCCTGGGAAACAAGGCAGGTTCACCACAGTGCCAACTGCTAAGCTGTGTGTTAACATAACTAAAGGCTGAATTTGCACACAACAAACTGTATACAGCGGACTCAGCTACGGCACATCCAGGTTTCGAAGGGATGGCTTGGTTTCCCCTGCAGGCTCTCTTATTTGATACAAGGTTCTACACAAAGGCACAAACCTGTTCCCTTCCAGGAAAGGAGACAACCCAGTAAAGAAAACAACTATCAGAAGCGAAATATTTTGCTTGATGTCCAAATGGGACGCTTAGCCAGGACTTACCGTCTCCTCGGGCTGGTTTTGTCGTCCTTTGGCTGCTGCAGCTGAGGCGAAATAAGAGGGGAAACAAGAAAATGTATGTCCTCTGTGTGTGTGTGTGTGTGTGTGTCTGTGTTTCCGTGGCTCACAGGCACTCGGCAGCCCTGCTGCCACACACTCTGTGGCGGTGGTGTGTTTGTGAAGGTCACTGCGCACCGCTTGTCCTCCTTCTCTTCCTGCTTCCAAGAATTCTATTTAAAGGTGCCTCTTTCTTTTTGTTCTCTTCCAACTACACAGGCAGCTTCCGGTCTTCCTTCCGCCTCCGGGGACAGTCTGGTTGGGTACCAGATGCTGTTATTAAGGACAGGACAGGGACTTCGTGATGGAGAGGCTTCCCCCAGCCATCTGCGTAGCTCAGCGGGAGGAGGAGGAGGAGGAGGAGGAGGAGGAGGAGGAGGAGGAGGAAGGGCTCGGGATTCAGAAGTTTGCTCTCTTTGCAACTCTGGTTTGGCCATTTTGGAGTGGGAAAGCAGCAGGGAAGCATGGGCTTGGCAGAGCAAGCCTTCCGCAAAGCATTGAGGCCTTCGAGCGGAGCCATTCATCCTTTCGTCGCGCATCTCCTTGGCTCCGCGTGGGCTCAAATGAGGTCAAATGCAAGATCCTGTTAATCTAAGCGAAGGTAGAACTGGGGTTCAGTGTCTGAGCCACTGGTGTGGTGGTCTGTGACTGAGCTGGCAATGAAGTGCAAATTTATAAGCATTTGTTCCCTTGATGGCAACAGGAGGGGACAGATCCCCGGGTTGGCCATGAACCAACAGACGAGACTTTATCTATAGCTCAGGCTGGAACTGTGGTGCTCTCTGAGTTGGGTTTTTTCCTCGCAGATGACTCTTTATCCAACTAGGGAACACCATCAGTGGAAGAAAAAGAAGAGGAGGAAGAAGAGGAAGAAGAGGAGGAAGAGGAGGGAGGAGGAAGAGGCAGAGGAGGAGGAAGGAGGAAAAAGAAGAGGAAGAGGAGGAAGGTGGCTGTCGGGTCCTTGATGGTCTCTTGAGCTTGGCGATTTTCTTGCAGACGTTTCATTGCCCAACTAGATAACACCATCAGTGCCAGTAGTGAGTAGGGTATGCTCTCATGTTATATTCCAGTGGCTTGCCTTGTCAGCGTTATTGGGAGTGACCATGTCCATCTGGAACAGTGCTCCTAATGCTTACAAAGCCTTGTAATGGGCAGCAAGAGATTCTTTTCCACGTGAGCACAGGGTGTCAGAGAGTCCAAGGAAGAGAGGCCATCCGTTCCTTCAGAGGCGGGCTGCACTTACGTTCACCGGTTCCCTGGTTGTGAGCATGCACGCGCCTCTTTGGGGCTGAGATGCAGCTTTAAACGTGCAGAGAATCAACCTAGGCAGCTCCGCTGAGTACAGCAGGGGTGGCACAGAACTGAACCAGACAGCCTGGGCGCGGGGAACGAGCCAGAAAAGGGCAGCACAGGGGTGGATGTGCAGGCTCAGCCCGTGACCGCAACTCCCAGTTCGCCTGAACCGGTGTGACCAGCAGCTTACCACTGCTTTCCTTCCACTATGCTGATCCAACAGAGAGAACTCTTCTGAGGTTGCTCCTTCCAGGCAGAACCTGGAATCTTTGGAGGAACCTGGGACGTGCAGGTCTAATGTCTAGAAAAGTGGAAACCTAAGTTGGGGTGATTAGGGAAGAATCGTGGCAACTGTTTTGAACAAGCAAATCCCACAGGGCAGCTGTATCACGAGCGTGCCCATGGCCTCTAAATTGCGACTGTGCTATGTATCCCAAAGAAGAAGAAACACAATGTCACACAGTGCAATGGGATGTGGGAAAGACCTTGAGGGACGGAGCAAAAGAGAGTTGACAGATAAGAGATGGCTTAGCCCTCGGCTGTAGGACAGGTTGAAAAAGAGGCTCTGAAGAAACCCTCCTTAGCTTCCCAAGGATGTCAAACAGACCATGGGAGATTTGTACAATCACACTTGCAAAAACCCGTTAATGTACAGTAGCTTTAGAACAGGAGCCCCCAACCTTTTCGGGGCCAAGGGCCAGTTCCGTGGAGAGAGGTTTTTCCACAGACCGGAGTGGGGTGAGGTTTTGCATGCTGCCTCAATCCCGCAGGTGGGGCTTCGCTTGTTTGTGTGGCCTGGTTTTTGACACGCCACGGCCCAGTGCCAGTCCATGGAGTGGCACTGGGACCCCTGCTTTAGAGGACAGTTAGACAGGAGGCAGCCCAGAGCTGCATAATGGGAGGAGAACGAAGCTCAGGAGGGACTCTCCCTAGTTTGTGAGACTGTAAAAGAGCGGGAGATTTGTCCTTTCAGACGTACAAGGTTCTGTACATGGAGCTTTAGAGCATAGTTGGATAAGAAATTGTGCAGCCCTCAGCTGCGTAACAGGTACAGAAAGAGGATCCGAAGGGACCTCCCTTAGCTTCCTAAGGCTATAAAATAGACAGCAGTAGATTTGTACTTTCAGATTTGCAAAATTCCGTTCGTGTAGCTTTACAAGAAAATAAAATTAGCTTGTCTGGTTGTGTTTCCTGTCTGGTCTAGATGATAAGGCTGACGCACATTGTGCTAATGTGTCTTTAAGCTACTGTGTTTCCCCCAAAATAAGAACCCATCTTGTATTTTTTTTGCCACCAAAAAAAGGCACCAGGTCTTATTTTCGGGGGATATTCATCCACTGACTAGCCTCACTTGCACGCATCGCCCCCGGCCTCCTTTTATCTGTCAGAGGCCTTCAGAAACTTCTTCTACAGCCGGCAAGGCTTTCCTGAAGGCCTCTGCAGCCGATAATGGAGCTCTGGATCGATCCAGAGCTTTGTTACAAGCTACAGAGCCCTTCAGGGAAGCCTTGATGGCTGCAGAAGAAATGGGCCAGCAAGGCAGGTGTCGGGGTGTGCGAGGCCCGGCTACAACTGTCCAAAGGTAAGTAGGAGGTCA